AGGCTATTGCCTGAGGGAGTCTTGTCCCTAGAAAAGACTGTCCAAATATGTAGGGCAGCAGAAACTGTGAAGGCCCAGGCTGCAGACCTGAATGCACCAAAAGGGGTCATCCACACAGCTGGCGTGAAAGAAAGCCACCACACAGGGTGCAATTTTCCATTTGTAAGGAAAGTGATGTTATTCACCAATTGTGGAAGGCAAAATGACCCCCAAAGTTGTGTGGCATTTGGAAAGCTCTGCTCTAACTGTAACAAAAGGAACCATTTTACCATGTGCTGCAGACCCCAAACACAAGTGCATACACTTAGGAGCATACCAGAATTTTAGATAGATATGGTAGAATCAAGCAAAATCAAGGAGAGGGACTGGATTGTGTCAGTAGAAGTGCAAGGAACAATGATTTAGTTTAAATTGGACGCTAGAGCTCAGGTTAATATTATATAGAAAGTTAAAATTAAGACCAAAAGTAAGTCCAACAAACATCAAAATAACTGGCGATTTGGGAACACATATCCCAGTGAAAGGGAGATGTATTGCTAGTGTCCAATCTAAATCAGAACATAGAAACTCCCATTCATTGGTAACACCAATTTTAGGTCTGGCAGCTTGTGAGAAACCACTCTAGTTAAATGTGTGCTTGCAGTAGAGGAAGATATAACATTCATGACTCCTGATGGCCTTTTTGGCCATCACAGCTCAAATCTGGACAATTTTCTTAAGAAGAAACCAAGCATTCCAAAACATAAGCAGCAACCATGTTCTTACAGGAAGAAATGTAGCTACAGACACAAATGCAAATATTACCACACAGAACAAGGAAATCTCCCTCAGTAGTCTGAAACTCTTGAGTTTTGTGCTACCTGAAGAAGCACAGCAGCTGGAAATTCAGGTCAGTTGGATCCCAGGATAAAGACTTTCTCTAAATTTGGCGTGAAAAGTTTCCCACCAAAAAACAAGTTGGAAACTGGATCTGTTATTTTGCTGGTCTGAAAAGAAATTGAAACCTCCTGAAAGACTCCCAGAGACTTGTTAGAAGAGCTGCAAAAAATGAGGACAGGACAGTAGGTGGTAAAGACTCACTTCAGAGTGAAGTGCTAGTAACCTGCCCTCTGAAGGTGGCTGTTGATTGATTTTTGTATTTATTAATTGAGTTTTGTACTTATTGTTAAGAGGGAAGCTGTGATGATAGAAGTTGTAATTTGGAGACACTCCTTTATTTGGAAGACCATGGAGGTTGGGAGTTGGGAGGTAGTCCTTCAGGTCAGGTCAGTTAGAGAGATTAATGACTAGAAGTTGACTTACTGCCTCACAAGACAGGTTGCTGTTTAATTCTTCTCATTCCTGTATGCCCGTCTTTACTGTACTGTGATCACTACATAGTCCTCACATATATGTGAAATTCCAGTACCAGTGCTTAGATAGTATTGAAGTGGGTATATTGGAAATGCTGGATTGATATTAGATGGGGTTTCATGGGTATAAATGCAAGCAGGCTTAGATCCAGCATCTTAACTGAATGCTTTTAAAAGCTTGGGGGAAAAACATGTGTGACTAAAGGAACCCCCTAGACAGCTCAGGCTTGCTCAAGTAGCACTTACTTAGCAGATTACCATAGTTCATGCTGACCTTGACAGCATAATGATATTTTCATGTAGATATATTCCTTTCAGCCAGTTATCTCCAGTGGGTTC